AAGTCAATGTTTTCTAAAAGGATTAAGACAATTAAGTGAAATAACACCGGAAACTAGTTGAAGTGAAGGCGATTATAATAACAATAATAGTGATAAAGGAAGGATACAAAGGTTAAATTAACAAAGTGGGAGGGGGAGCTAATGGGGTGGGAAAATGTTATGGCCATGATAAAGACAGTGACTGCACATACTTCTTTTGTACACACAGATCAGGTCTTAGTTCATGAATAGCTAAAGCCTCCGCTGTTTTAAGGAGTTGAAAACGAAGAGAACGTGGGAGGTTTGGGCGAATTCGATAAATAATTTCAAAGTCATCGTCTGGATTTGTTGTGTGATGGAAGTCAATCAAATGTTCTAGAATCGAACTTCTAACAGACTTTCTTTCACCTTTATAAAACCAAGCAGGAACATGTTCTCGTATACGTGTAGAAAGCATTCTCTGGCTACGGCCGATGTACCTTGCTCCACAGGAGCAGGTGAACTGGTAGATGCACATAGAGGCGGCCAAACGAGGAAGCTTGTCTTTGACGCAGGTGGAGAATAGGTTGTGGCTGGTAAAAGTCAACTGGAGTCTTGCTGCGAAGAAAGTCCTATTGATTGATCTGGTAAGACGATTCTTCAGTACATCCGATGCTAGGTCTCCTTTAAACTCTAGGCTCATAAACAATCTTTTCTTTGAGACCGAGTGGATGACTGGTTTAGTGTTTCTTTCCCGCATATTTTTATCAATAAAACGGCTAGGGTAACCGTTTTCGACAAGTATGCTTTTTAAGAAAGATAGCTCTTCCTCGATACAATCGTCACTACAGATACTTCTTATTCGATAGCAAAGAGAGTGAATAAGATTTCTTTTTCTGTTGATGGGCACCCAACTATAAAAATTAGTTAGTTGTCCGTTCCACGTTGGTTTTCTGTAGATGGATCTTTTAAGGTATCCATTCTGACGTCGGGTGAGAAGCACATCAAGAAAAGGAATAGTTGATTCTGATTCCTTCTCTATAGTAAACTTGAGGGCTTGATGACATTCATTGAATGAACGAAGCACGTCGTCGAGGTCTACATTTTTGTCGCAAATAACAAACGTGTCGTCCATATATCTTCTATAAAAGTCAAAGCTATCAATAGTTTGACGAAGTTTTGAATTTTCCAGTTTCGACATGAAGAAATCTGCTAGCAGTGGTCCCAATGGTGACCCCATCGCAATTCCATCTTTCTGTCTATAGATTTCATTATTGAAACTGAATTGGACATTAAATGTGCACCTCAACAAAAGCTCTTTCAAGCAGCTCGTTGGTAGTCCTACGTCTAAATTATGTGCATCAATATAGTCACATACATAACAGACAGTTTCGGTGAGTGGCACACTCGTGAACAATGAAGTGACGTCTAATGAAAACATCATCTTGTTTAGAGCATTAAAATCCTTAATACCCTCAACAAACTGAAATGTATCACGGATAGAAAAACTCGATACTTGCCTTCTAACAGGTTCCAGAATTTCAGCTAACCATTGAGCAGTTCGGTGATAGGGAGAACCAGCCATATCGAGGATCGGACGAAGAGGTAATCCCGTTTTATGTATCTTCGGTAGTCCATATAGACGTGGGATTATAGAGCCAACCGGTCGGATACGTTCATATAAATCAGGATCAATTATTGATTTATCCCTCATGTTTTTTAAGACATTTGTGAGTTGTGTTTCAATTATATGTGTCTTATTGGGCTCACCTTCGGGTTTACTAAACTTAGTGGGATCAGAGAGGATTACGGAAAGTTTATCAGTATACTCCTGACGATTCATTAGGACAATGCCTCCTCCCTTATCTATTTGTTATCATTCGCACTTCAATTGTTATTATAATCATAAATGCCTATGTCATCACCCGCTCTATTATTACTGTCATCACCATATAGTGTTTAGTTTTCCTCACAGGATATAATTTTTTCCAAATACCATATATATACGATTGTACAGCTTGAAAATAAATTCGTTGAAAAGAGTCTCTTCGCTGAATATCTTGTTCTTAATGTTACAATGGGAATTATTAAATTATTAGAAATATGCAAGGACCCAATGACGATGAAGGAACTTAATGGGTTTCTGCGCTATTCTGTCAAACTTGCTTTGGTGAAAACTGAGATTACTTTCCTCGAAAGTTGTATTGATACAAATGAATATCCGAAACTGTTCTGGAAAGCACTTAGGAGAAACCATATCCGGCCCAATTCTAAAACACTGAAGCGTCATGCACTTAATCGTATTGATGCCATTAGCTCTCGTATTGTTGAGTTAAAACGAAATATATCCACGAGAAATCATGCCCTTTATGAGTTATCTACTGATGAACGCAAACAGTTCGAGGAGTATGTCATTACAGTCGTAGAAAAACAGTCTCAGTCGGCCAATCTTAAACACTCCGATGGTCTGAAGCCAGTTGAAATGGAAAGTAAATTTCCGAATAATCCAGAAAAGTATGTATTTAACCACTCTCACGTTAATCTTTCGACAATTCAAATGCAAGCCCTATCGCTGGGCTCAAAGTTTTGCAGCAGTGCATCCAAGGTTAACAGATTACATACCCAAGTACAATTTGAAAATTTAATCAGCCAGATTGTCGGTCTTACGCCTGCATCGCCGCAAGAATTCCAGCATTTCAAGTCCACTGTTCTAGATTGCTGTCACCAATTTATCAACTCCAAAATCAGTTCTAGCTCTTTATTAACCAAGGACCATATACAACAGCTAAAACTAATCAAAGATAACAGGGATATTATCATAAGCCGTCCTGATAAGGGAGGAGGCATTGTCCTAATGAATCGTCAGGAGTATACTGATAAACTTTCCGTAATCCTCTCTGATCCCACTAAGTTTAGTAAACCCGAAGGTGAGCCCAATAAGACACATATAATTGAAACACAACTCACAAATGTCTTAAAAAACATGAGGGATAAATCAATAATTGATCCTGATTTATATGAACGTATCCGACCGGTTGGCTCTATAATCCCACGTCTATATGGACTACCGAAGATACATAAAACGGGATTACCTCTTCGTCCGATCCTCGATATGGCTGGTTCTCCCTATCACCGAACTGCTCAATGGTTAGCTGAAATTCTGGAACCTGTTAGAAGGCAAGTATCGAGTTTTTCTATCCGTGATACATTTCAGTTTGTTGAGGGTATTAAGGATTTTAATGCTCTAAACAAGATGATGTTTTCATTAGACGTCACTTCATTGTTCACGAGTGTGCCACTCACCGAAACTGTCTGTTATGTATGTGACTATATTGATGCACATAATTTAGACGTAGGACTACCAACGAGCTGCTTGAAAGAGCTTTTGTTGAGGTGCACATTTAATGTCCAATTCAGTTTCAATAATGAAATCTATAGACAGAAAGATGGAATTGCGATGGGGTCACCATTGGGACCACTGCTAGCAGATTTCTTCATGTCGAAACTGGAAAATTCAAAACTTCGTCAAACTATTGATAGCTTTGACTTTTATAGAAGATATATGGACGACACGTTTGTTATTTGCGACAAAAATGTAGACCTCGACGACGTGCTTCGTTCATTCAATGAATGTCATCAAGCCCTCAAGTTTACTATAGAGAAGGAATCAGAATCAACTATTCCTTTTCTTGATGTGCTTCTCACCCGACGTCAGAATGGATACCTTAAAAGATCCATCTACAGAAAACCAACGTGGAACGGACAACTAACTAATTTTTATAGTTGGGTGCCCATCAACAGAAAAAGAAATCTTATTCACTCTCTTTGCTATCGAATAAGAAGTATCTGTAGTGACGATTGTATCGAGGAAGAGCTATCTTTCTTAAAAAGCATACTTGTCGAAAACGGTTACCCTAGCCGTTTTATTGATAAAAATATGCGGGAAAGAAACACTAAACCAGTCATCCACTCGGTCTCAAAGAAAAGATTGTTTATGAGCCTAGAGTTTAAAGGAGACCTAGCATCGGATGTACTGAAGAATCGTCTTACCAGATCAATCAATAGGACTTTCTTCGCAGCAAGACTCCAGTTGACTTTTACCAGCCACAACCTATTCTCCACCTGCGTTAAAGACAAGCTTCCTCGTTTGGCCGCCTCTATGTGCATCTACCAGTTCACCTGCTCCTGTGGAGCAAGGTACATCGGCCGTAGCCAGAGAATGCTTTCTACACGTATACGAGAACATGTTCCTGCTTGGTTTTATAAAGGTGAAAGAAAGTCTGTTAGAAGTTCGATTCTAGAACATTTGATTGACTTCCATCACACAACAAATCCAGACGATGACTTTGAAATTATTTATCGAATTCGCCCAAACCTCCCACGTTCTCTTCGTTTTCAACTCCTTAAAACAGCGGAGGCTTTAGCTATTCATGAACTAAGACCTGATCTGTGTGTACAAAAGAAGTATGTGCAGTCACTGTCTTTATCATGGCCATAACATTTTCCCACCCCATTAGCTCCCCCTCCCACTTTGTTAATTTAACCTTTGTATCCTTCCTTTATCACTATTATTGTTATTATAATCGCCTTCACTTCAACTAGTTTCCGGTGTTATTTCACTTAATTGTCTTAATCCTTTTAGAAAACATTGACTTCATCTTGTCCAATTTGTCTAATGCCATTACATAATACTTAATTGATTTACCATTTTCAATAATTTTTTCACCCCCTTCTGAGTTATATACTCTCTATGTACCATTCCATATATTACATAATCTATTTGTTATCATTCGCACTTCAATTGTTATTATAATCATAAATGCCTATGTCATCACCCGCTCTATTATTACTGTCATCACCATATAGTGTTTAGTTTTCCTCACAGGATATAATTTTTTCCAAATACCATATATATACGATTGTACAGCTTGAAAATAAATTCGTTGAAAAGAGTCCCTTCGCTGAATATCTTGTACTTAAATTTATGTTGAAATGTATTCATACTAGGAGATGTGTTTGATCGAATGTTGTTTGTATTTTAGACTTCCAGTCGTGTACAATTGGCGGTTTCCTATGATAATTTCAAACAAGAAATGCGTATCAATATTATACGAGTGAATGACATACCTGGTAGAGAGACTGGTGGTTCACCAGCCTATCAGGTGAGTGGTTTTTTGTGTGCAAAATATTTTACTACTGAAAAGTATCCAGTAGTCTGAGTAATTAATGACAAATTGCCGAGGCATGCATTAAGTTTCACGAAAAATGTATTGGATACCAGGTTATCAAGGTTCAGATCGTTAGATGTGAATTTGTGATAAGTAAAGTCAGTATTTACGACCAATTATCTTTCGACCTATACTACAGAAGACAATTTGTTTATCCAAGGTACTAAAGTTAGATTACTTCAATGTTATTAGTATAAGGGTTTTTATATGATACCGTCGCACAAGAAGTGGCCATCGTGGCTCGGTGGTGTAGTGGATGACGCGCTAACGTTTGAAGCGATCGCCCCCGAGTCCGAGTCCCAGTTGGAACAACATCAGTCACTGGGAAGCAGTTACGTACAACTGACGAGTCCCAAATAGGACGAAATTTGCATCCTGGATTCCACTGCTAGACACGATCCATCCTTAACTTCGATGTTATGTTGGCTGAGGTTTATGGGAATTAATCAAGGACTAGTATCAGATGGGATGCCATTGAAAACCTAAGAACAGTAGACAACAGCTTCGTCCTCACTCAGGACTCATCATCAGTTAGTACCCATGGTCACTCGACCTGGCGGCTAGGTGCTTAACACGTTCACCACGAGTCCTGAAGGTTGTGAGTTTGACCCTTGATGGCATCATAGGTGCTCACGGCTTAGGAGTCTCATACTATTGCTTACAGGTTCTGAATAATTCCCCAATTAATGTCAATCAGTCTGTCCTTAAAACAAAATCCTAACAGACCTCAAAATGCATTATTCTAATATATCTTTATCAACACCCTAATTACAAGCACTCGCATTGGCTCTTAATTTCTGTGGTATTTCAACAACTCTAAATGACCTACATACATTAGTTCAGTTTGAAAGTTTAATGAACCAAACAAACTATTTAATTTCAGCTTCAAATATTAAGATGACGTGTACATACATTCAGGAAATAATGAAGACAGATGTAGTCTCTAATTTATTAAAGGCTAATGGAGGAAAAAGGCTTGAATATGTCCTCTTTGAATGCAAAGTTCAGGTTTGATTGATAGTTTTCCGACAGTGTCAGCTATGTTGACCAAGCGTCAGTGAGCTACAAATGGTCTCATTGTTAGGTAAACAATGTAGTTTATTTTTCTTTAATAATTATGGCTTTATTCTGAAAGGTATTTCAGGAATGCTGTACACAATTTTCAGAATGTCATGTAGCATGCAGTATATATATAACAAAATGAAATAAGTTGAAATTACATATACTGAAAGATAACCATCTTCGCTCTATCTACAACTTTCATAAAAATGCAAAGTTAACTTAGACAGACAATCACATTACCAGTTAGGTTTAAAATAGATAAATTACAGCAACCTGTAGATTATTCAGTTAGTTTGCTTTCAAAAAACAGAAGTTGATTAGTCAGTTCATTTTCAACACTTTCTTCCACACACAAAAGACGAAATAAATACGGTATTACAGAGTTTTTATATTCTTGTAGTATGTGCATAAAGTCTTATGTACTTGTTGCTTGTCTTTCCAGATGATCAACCCACACAGAGTTTTGAGTGAAGAGGATGTTGATCATCTGATAAAATAACTCCTGTCAGATGTTTACACATGAATTAATATGTTTGTCCACAATAGTTTTGAGTGGAAGATGTAGGGAGGGGTACACCACTCCAGTTGTGCTGACAATCTTCAAAGCTGTATGCAATATAGCATAGTCTTTTTTCAACAACCTGGTAAAAAATGAAGGGTAGCAATAGACAAGAAATGGGCAGGATGCATGATTTTCTGAAACACAAGAGGAGAGGGTGAGTTGTGTGAGTTATTCTCAGCTTCGTTAGGTGGAGAGTTAGATGTGTGATTTTTTTGGGGAATGAGTGAGATATTGATGGGTGAGGGTAGGTTGGAAGAGAAACACTCACGTTGAGATAAATCATAGTTGTCACATTCTCTAATGAACAACTATCAATAGAACAGCAATCATGACCATTGGGAGGCAGGTCTAGAAACTGTTAGGTCATCCACACATTTGACAAAGTTGATATTAACTGAAGATGGTATTTCATCGCTAAAAAAAAGACTGGATGAAAGCATGGCTCTCCGACGAACATCAGTCACAGTAAGCAATGAGGTGGAGAGCTACCCTGTTTGGACAGTAGATTACTTCCCTTTAGAGAAATAAGAGTACAGCCATCTGATTATCAAGGACTCAGTATGAGTCCCGTTTAGCTTGTTCAGCAAAAGAGGTCTCAGGAAATTATCAAATGCCAAAGTGTAGTCCAAAAAAGCACACCTAAAATACTTGGAATTTCTATCGAATTTATAAGCAATACTGACATATAAGACAGTGGTGGCATCCACAGTACTCATCTTACGTTTGTATGCAAAGTGATTAGGATCTCCGAAAACCTTAAATGAGGGTTGAAGCACACTAATATCTAACATATCCGTGGGGTATGAAAAACTAGACTAACCATAAAATTACCAGTGGAAATGGTATTCGTAATATGATAGTGACCAGCACTAGAATCCAGATCACGTGTTTCGACTCATTTTCAACTTACTTGGCAGTAAGTTGTGGCATTCCCACTAAGGCTTGAATCCAGTCCCAAATAGAACGAAATATAAGTCTTGGATCCCACTATTAGCTACTGTCTATCCTAAATACATCACAATAAAATTGTCGGCCACATCCTGACATCCCCACAGTGATTCACGTATCAACTCTGTTTCAACCACTTCCAATATTATACTGTACCCAATGCATATGGAAGAATCGTCGTAACTCAGTAGCTTAATGGATAACATTCTGAGGTCTGAAACGATAACTGTTCAGTTAGAGTTCCAGTGGAGACAACATCACTGAGTGCGGTGCAGGTATACCCAGCTGATGTGTCCTGATTGGGACGAAACTTGCATATTCCTATTCACTGCTAGCTATATATATGGCAGTAAAGGCCAATCAACTCGGTTGTACTCAATTTCCAATATTATATAACAAAGGGTTGGATATATCAGGAATCATTGGGTGTTTCAGCCAATGTGAACGCGATACCACAGCAAAGGTCACTCTAGTTTACTAAATTTACTTCGCACTGAAGATGAACCATCAAAATTAAATAATATTGCAAAATATCACCATTGGCTTAGAATGCACTTAAACAATAGAGGCAGACAACAAACTCTTCTAAAATCCCCTTTAATAAGCATTTTCAACTAAATGGAGAGCAGAGACAGTCAATGCGTAAAGCAGTGATCCGGGTGTTGACCCAATCATGGGGACCTATTGGAAACCTGAGTAGTTATTTCACCCCAATATGGGATCTTCAGCAGTGTAAAACCTTAACCTACTATAAGACCAGGAACAGATATATGTATTGGTCACTGGAGGGCAGCCAGTTTCATTTTGTCTAGTCTTGACTGCTGAGCGACCCCCTATTGAGCATTCTGTAATATGGTCACCATGCTAAAAGACTCTATCATAGACATATCATTCCCCTTGGGATCGCATGTACGTCCTACTGACTAGTGTCAACAAATACGAAACCCAGGTGAACTGCCGATTCCCTCCAACCATTCAACATCAATAAAAGTGCACCATGATAGTGAATCGTTTAGTCTAGTGACCACACTACACAGGATGCTCGATAGAATTCAGTCGGAAGTTAGCACCAGACAAAAGGAAAGCGGTAACTCCACAGTTACCAATCAATCTAGTCTAGGTAAATGAAATGTTTTAGAAAAACGTACAGTTCGAAACACAAGTGAAATTTGACTGTGCTCTCTTTCAAGAAAGATTCAGACAGCAATATGGGACTCGCCAAAAATTCTGCTCTGTCAGCCGAAATCAGACCAGCTGATGAGTCTTGCCAACAAGATATGTAACTCTTTATTGTCTATCCCGTCTTAACGTGATAACTATTCAAAGCTGAGGGAATTGTGAGGTTGCCAGTCTCCGATTTCGTTGATAAGTGCGTATCATATAATCAGATCAGGTGTTTATGCAGAAGTACGCAGTCCACGGTGAAAATTTTCATCCTGGTTTCCTATGGACACCGTAAGGGGTGTCCATATTGCGAGCATGAAGCTGCACATGATATACTACTGATTAATCGATATGGGTGGTGTTGAACCACTCACACAGATCAGGTGTTCTAGCTGACCAGCTGAATCAAGGCGATCTAGACACGATCTAGGCCTTTTGCTCGTTCAGGGATAGGCTGGTCAGTAGTCTACCTGGATTAATTCAGCTCACAGGGGCGATTGACTAAAGCCATATGAATTCCGGGTGGCTAGCGGGGCCAACTAGTCATACCAAGCGCCTAGTTTTGTTTATCTAAGGCGATGTAGGTGTTGGTTCATTTGGGTTTTTCTTCTTTATTTATTTGCAAGTAGATTGCTTTATCCATATTACCGGAGAATAAACAACACTGGAAAAGTCGACTGCGCACAGCTCCAAATCCTGAATACTTAGAAGAGTGGACAGTGAAAATCCCGCTGAGTAGGTGCACTTTGTTTCTTTTGCTTTTACCGTACTTTGTACACACTTTTTTTAGAAAAAATTTCTAATATTCTGAAAAACAAGTCATTTTATGATTGTTTTTAAATCGTTCTTGTCTGACCGATATGGTAGTCGATTCCTGTGTGCGTCACTTCTGGCACAGTGTAATCCTATGTTCGATGGTCTGTTTGATATCCTATACAATGAGTGATTGAATAACTCTTAGGACACAATTTATTGGGCATAATCATATCAAGGTAGTAACACTTCATATCTTCGCTTTGTTTCGTTGCAGTTTTACCGTTTTTTCATTATTTGGTTTGGTTAGTTGTTGGTTAACCCAGCTTACAAGGCAACTAGGAAGGTATTTAAGGTCTCTATCGTGTTGCCATATCAGGAACCCTACATGCGATTCTCAACAATGCTGGAATCTATAAACTCACTGCGGGACAAACTTTGTTGGCTAACAGATCCGACTGAACCGCTTCCACAAAATAATTTAATTTAGCTATTTTCCAGCAAAAACTGTGATGTCAAACTAGACAATCGGGTCAGCCAAGTTAGCAGAACATAGGAATCTGCTTGTGTCTAGATTGACACACCCTACTAAGATGAGTAATCTTGAGAAGAATTCAGCCAAATCAAAGCATGAGATAACACAACCCCCAGTAGGGTTAAACAGAAAGAAACTTGTATAATAGCAGTGACTCCCTACGGATTTCAAATACATGGGAAATCTCACAGGCGATCGAAACAAAGAATAAAAAACAATGGAAATAAGAAAAACTTAACCTGAATATAAGCAATAGATCAGTTATTCAAGTGCAACGCATACTGAATTACTCTTACACTGCCCTTATCCTGATTGGCTCAAGCCAAGGTCATTTAGCTTATGCTAGATATGACCAATGTTAATATCTCTTTCTTACTGGTTTTTAGTCACACTTAGACCAAACCAAAGGTTTATGAGGATTTCATTAATTTCAAGTAGTATTTATCATGGATTGACATAAGTTTCAAAACTATTGACCTGTGAGATCAACCAAGTCGGAAATTAAGTGGATGTCTACTGAAGACCTTCGTTGCGCTGTATCGTAAATTAAGAGAAGTAGGAAACTGTGAAGCACTGAACTCCTACCATTGGTTGAATGGCTAACGCGTTCGCCATGAGATAAAAGGTTCTAACCTGGATGCCTAACAGGGTCACGGGTGCGCACTGCTGAGGAGTCCCATACTAACTGATTGGTCTTCAGTTCGCTGATTCCTTCTTACTAGCCCGTACATTGTATCAGTGTCCACACCTCTGTTGATTGCGGTTTGATTGCCATATCAAACATCCAGGAATTCTCCTACAGATTTTGAGCTCACTTGTGATAATATTGTCACGTTGTCCTAGTCAAAGTTGTGATTTAACAACCGTTGGTGCTCACAATATCTTTGAGCTATCTTGCTCAGATTGAACGACCACAGAATTGAATCATTTCCCCATTGTTATACCGGATCGAATTTATCAACTTCTGATGAGATATGAACTCCTACACTGATGCAATAATACTGACTGATTATTGTTATAATTTACCGGCTAGCGACAGCTAGCAGTGAAATTTAGGACGCAGATTTTGTCCGACTTTGAACCCATTCATCAGCTGGACGCCCCTTCACCCCAGTGAGTCATGTTGTCGCAAATGAGGCGAAAAGGTGCACTCTAGATTTCACTTTTAGTCACCTACCAAGTAAATTACAACAGAATCACTTCCAGCTTATCTATTTTTTCACCCAGTAAAAGTTTATTCATCCAATAAGAGAACTGTGACAAGTCAGCTACAAGACAAGTAAGTCTGACGGGCATCCATTCAATTTTCTCAGCTTAAAACGATGCTCTGAAGAGATGTCGTTTAGCAAACAGGTTAACATTTGAAAAAAATACCACACAATCTCATTTCATAAAATGTCAACCATTCTCCAAATTTCAGCATTTAACAGAATTTTCAAATGGTTGTTCATTTCGATGAGTCTATTAGCGTGAATTGGAAGAAATTTTCTGATGGATCAATTTTAAATTTGTACCTTCCACTGTTGCAGACAATTGTGACTGTTTAACGTGTGACCTTCAGAAGGTCATTCAACGCACACCATGGAGTATAATAACATTGAATACTGAGCAATTCTTTGTGATAGAATTGCTCTTATTTTTTCCTGAGGTATTTTAAAATTGCAGTAGACCTATCCACCAAGCATCACTCTTCACCTAATGTCAAGGAATCTCCGCTAGTTGTGCACAACTATGCTTATTATAGAAAGTATTTCTGAATGTGCCGGAATTTATTCTTCCTGTCTCTGGCAACATGTCCGATCTTTAGACATTCGCTTCCTACATAGTCCGACAGTTCTTCGTTCTTTCATTTCAATGGCAGTAATGTTTTGTGAATGTCTGTGATGTATGTGATGATGAATCATTTCTGTTTCACATGTGTTACGTGTGTATTGAATCTATGAACATAGATTCTGTGATCAGTATTTCCCTCCATACTGAGCTCTATTGGATTTTGGAAGTGTCACCTTATACCACCCACCCTATAGTGTGATCATGGGTCAGTGCACGCAGAGCGATAAGTGAGTTTTTTCCAAATTACTTACTTCATTACAGCCTGTCATGGGATGTCTCTGACTGTACCGGATAGGGTGGTTTGACCTATAGATATATGTCCTCACATTCACTGTATGGTATTTGATAAGTTAGGTTATTTCGCCTAGATGATTCTACTGGGTCTTTCAGTGTAAAACGTTTTTTCTAGGGCGGGTTTGTGAGTTTAAGAGCCACCCTAATCCTAGAACTGGTAAAAATCCAACGTAGAATGCCTGATGTGTTTTTTCTACGACTGCACTAACAGGGGACTTAAATTCCCTCTCAGATATGTTACAGTTAACCCTAATGTCATTACTCTTCCTCCCTCTTTCTCTTTCCCTCGTCTCTTACTCTTCCCTTCTTAGAAGTTGGCAAAAATGTTGAAATAAAGCCAGGAGGATAGGTATTAAATGGTAACATCAAAAGTGAAACGCGATGATGTGCCTCCTATCTTCATGGCCACATTACAAAACGATTAAGATAGAACAGGAAATCAGTCGCTCTCTACTGGACAATCAGTGTAACTAATCCAGTTCTACTGGAAGTCCATAGCAGTCTGAAAAGCTCAGTGATAACTAGAATACTAGGTGATGAGGGTTCGAATCTTCTAGAAAGAGTATCAATTCCCTCGACGTTGCAGATACGCTTTGTTGAGGAACGAGTGCCGACAAGCATGAAACTTAGGTTGAGCATGGCAACTTTCTGTCGTTTGTCTTCAGTTCATTGTGATGACCTTCTGACTTACTAGGCACAATCCTAGCTCGATTACTTAAACATTATACCGAGGACACGTTGACAGAGATAGGCTGAGATGATGTGAAACACAAGCATCTATTCCAGTGTTTTGGTTCATAATAAAGAAACCGGTATCTTAACTACTGTCTTCCCTTGACTTGTGAGTTATATCATATCAAGAAATCTCATTTGAAATTAATCTCTGCCGCAGGGCACAGATCGTACACTAATATCAGGAATTACAGTGTGCCCGTCTAACCAGGTAACTATCCGCATTTTATGCGGTTGAAGTTACGTATTTACCATACCGATGGTAATGCACACTTTCTGTGAATGCAAGTGATTATATCGTATTGTTGAAGGTGGATAACAACTAGTGGAAGGAGGAGCTGGTTGGGCGTTTCATTCTTGTCACAGATTCCCTACAACATAAGTCTTGCACTTGTCAAAATGTAAAGTGGATCCTTTAGGTTTAGCCTTCAGCTACCTTCAGTTCAAAGTTAAGGATTGGAGTGGTAGAATTTACATCACCATGAAAAGGCTTGCTGCTGGGCAAATCGCTACTCGGATGGTTTAGGTCAACTTGATATTTGTTAACTTGAGTCACCCCTAAAGTGGACTGGTGAGATATCTGATGAAGGACGACCATACTGAGCTCCATTTTGGATCTAAGACATGACTGGTTGCACTTCTCTGACCTCAGGTCTATTTATAGTCCTGATCACATATTTCGGAATCACTATGTGAGCAGTGTTGTATTCAGGCGAATGGTTCTCTGCAAGGTAGGCAAGTTAACTGGTGAGGTTTTGAACCCTCATCCACTGAAATGGCTTGGGGATTTGTTGCGCCTGCCAAGGAAAAGTCTACCTTGACGTGAAATATTAGCCAAAGTAGGATTTGGTTGGAAGAGGATTCAGGGTGACCAGACCAAGACATGGCACCAGCAGAGGAAGTCTCCGATTGTTTATCTGAGTCGTGTAGGAAACTGAATACTGTCTGGTTAGGGCTCCTGAGAAAATAAGGACCAAAAGTTGGTGTTTCTTGTGGAAATGGTTGGACCTGCTAACTATCTGTGGTCATCTAAAGCTTGAGCAGTTTGCTTACCTTCAGTTTTAGGATTGCTTCTCCTCTCTTACACTTTCACTTACTTTGATTTGACCCGTTCTCTACTCACCTGTCCTCTTTATGCCACTGTGAATAATGATAGATTGAAGCAATGCAGTTCTGTGTCAGCTCATGCGCTGAATTGCATATCTGTCTGTCTGTTTGTCCGTCTGACTCTCGATCTCCACAAACATTCTGGGAACCATACGGAATAGAGTTCAAACATTCAGGTCTTAAGTTGGTCATCACAGCTTTCGTCCAGTATGGCGAAAGTCATTGAATCATATATCTTTCCTTTACAAAGTCATTATTTAGTTTCATACTTTGATGTAAGCTTCAAATCCTCCCCACTCTGCTTATAGTAGTCTCGTTTACTCAGTAGTGACAATTAAAAATTAAAGTTAGATAACAGTATCAGTTCCCTTCAAAAGGCTCATGTTTAGGTAATGAAAGATTTTGGTGTTTTCATGCTGATTGTAATAAGTTTCTAAACGTCTCAGAGATTTTTCTTTAATTGTTTCTACTTCCATTTGGGAACCTTCCATAGTGGCAATCCATCAATCTACACTGATTTGCCAGATAATAGGGCACTTTGAAAATGGACGAGAATATCTGTACGGTGAAACTTTTCTACCATTGGAAAGCTTAAATTTAAATATTGAAAACGTTCTCACCCTGAATTTTCAACCGAAACATGTACAGTGTGGATTAGTTGCCGCCTTACAGCCAAAAGTGAGTGTGATCAGTACAAAATATTTTTTGAATTAAACTTTACCTACTTTTTACTTTGTTTAAGTAGTTAAATATCATATCCAAAAGAAAACCGCCTTAAAATTTGATGTCCTATCTGCATACTGCTGAATCATATTTACACTGTGCAAATCAGGATAGTAGTTAAAGAAAACGTATTTTAAGCTTTCAGTTACTGTTTGTAACTAGCCAGAAACTCATGAATGAGAGTTTGCTTTTATCGAGTTGTCCTGTCAGAAAGCGTAACAAGTTGTATCTTATTTATGTGGCACTTTGAATAGTCTACTAGACACTTTTAAAGCCATTTAAAAATGTGGACGAATGAATGATGAAACAAAAAAGCAGATCTTAGACGGCTGGCAGAACGTCATTTTCCTCCGACTTGGGACCCATGAGCCAAACGTGTCTGCATTCTAGTGAGTGATGTTGTCCGCACTGAGAGTCGAATCTGGCATACATCGCTCCCAGCGTATAGACCGATATTTGTGATAGCCTGCTGTTAAACTTAATTGAACTTAACTTAGAGGTTTGTCGAGACTTATTAATTTCAAGTTGATACTCACCACTGATCGATATTACTTGGAGAAACACTAAAATCTAGGAATACTGAACAGATGTTTCATCCAACTGGTGTGGGACACCTAAGCAGCGTGCAAAGCCTGAAAACCCTGGGTTTGGTCTCTGGCTGGTCGACGGATCCAAACTGCTGACGACCCCCATACTAGTAGGATGAAACAGAAGCCCAGTGCTCACAGATTTTAAGTGATTCTCCAAATGATACCAGTCAGTGGTGAATACCAGCCTGAAATCAACAAACCTCTACAAACCTTAGAACTGAACTACTGACTAGAGTTGATGACTGACTTGCTTCGAGAAAAGATTTCCTGAAATTCTATTATGAAGTCGTGACCGGTTGGTCAAAGCAAGTTGGATGTGAAAACAAATACCTGCTGATGACACTGGATGATGACTGCACACCATGCCACGAATCGGCAGAAGTAGTCAAGGGTGGACCACTCGGTCCCGACCCAGCGGTTCAATGTTTCCGTCCTCTCTCAGAAACCTGAATGGCTGGGTTCAACCCCCGCCTGGGTTATGTGTGACCAGCGCTGATAAGTCTCATACTAGAACGAAGTAGCCGTCTAGTGCTGCCACCTTTTCGAATGGTCCTCCCATGAACGTCATCATTCCATGATTTGTCATTGCTTACCTACAAAACAGAAAGTTATTCGGTTCTAGTTATCTGGTGTCACATAAGTAGAAGCCTAGATCCTAGGTTTGACTCTTGCAGAAATTCGTCAATGAGGCAGTAATACTCAAATGTGTGCAAGTCTGTTCCAACGATTCCTGGGGATCAGTTGCTGCACATGCCAGCAGAAGACAGTCGATTATATCTGAAGTGTAGTTATTCAACAAAGTGATATGACAAGCAGTTCAGTGTAGTGTATTGCGCTCCAGTGTTTAATGGTAGCCAATAAGAGGAGCCTTTTCTATCGCGAACATTTAGTGTTGCGAAACACAGAGTATAACCACCAGAGAAATATACAAGATATTCACGGATGCGCAAGAATCAGTCTGGTAGATGTTTCGAGGTACTTTACAGAAAGCGCTACTTCACACCGGCAGGTAAGGTTTATTCTTGTTGGTGCTCATCACTCTTTCCATTCCTAATCAACTTTGTCATAAAGGTATCTTCGGAAGTCTCTCTCTCGTCGTTTAACTTTAGAGGGATCGATCTAATCATAGGAGAATCCTTGGTAGATCTGAAGTACACAGTACTGTTAAGTGAAGATGCGGAGTCTTCTGGATACCTTGATTGTGAATTCGAAAATGTTTGGGATGCTTTTCTCACCAGGAGGACTGGTGTTTGTTGATGCCGTCTCTAACAATAGGGAAGGCAGTTGTTCAGCAAGCTGATCGTTTCATCCACCTGGGAATTTGGATCAGCCATAGTGAGTCAGAGACTGACGAACTCTTGAGAAGATAGGAAAGGTTCAGTTGGCTTTCACAAACTTACGCAGTTCATGCAGCTGCTATAACATCCAACTGTCTATCTAAAGTTGAGTGTACTGTGCTGCAGTTTGCGTTCTATTATACTGTATGATTGTAAACCTTCATCAACCGAAGTGACTGGGTCATTCGTGATCCAGCGTCTAGTAACCGTCTTCCTCATCACTCAATGTTATCTGAAGTAGGTTCATGCTGGAGAAAGGGTTAGAGCGGTTGGACAAAACTTGGCATCACTGCGTGAAGTCCTGACTGTTAGCCTGAAGCATATAGGAGAATGCAGACTAGCCGGTTGGAGGCCGTGTGACAACAGAAATCAGTGGTTGGAGACGGCAGATCATTTTCCAGTATGAGTAAATATTTGCCATTGAGTCATCGAAAAAAGAATCGCCTAGTTTTCAAAAAAGACTTCAATATATTGATGGAGCAAATTCCAAGAAAATCGTTTTGTATACAGAAATAATTAAGCAATGTAGTTTCTATGAACAAATTCTATGCTAAACGATAGAACACTAATGATGCTGAGAGATTTAAAAATAACTTAGAAGTCACCTTTGAGATTAATATCAGTGAAGCACCTGTATTGATCAGAGTAAGGCCTTAAGTTAGAGCAAAACATGAAAATTGACTGAAATACTGAAAGATCTAACTAAGAATGGTGGATAGTGGACAGCGATGGAGTCGAGGGCACACACGTCTTACTTGAACCCCTCCCCATCAGCTGGATATATCTACCTCTGAGTGAGTAATGCTGTTCCCACTGTGGTTCGAACCCAGCACCCATCAATGTAAAAGCCAGAAAGTTGTCCATAAGGTTACTGTTTTGACCGAACTAGTGGGTCACAACTAGTATATGACCTCCACTGTGCATCCCTCAAGTCTCAGCGGGAATAACTTCACCCACTGCCCGGTAAGTACATCCACTATTCCTTCATACCTTCTGACTCTTTTTCTCGATTTTCTATCGTAGTTGACTGTTTTCTTCCTTCAGGGTCCATCTTTCATGTTGGTGCTTTCTCATTTTTCTGTGCCGGCGTGTGATGCGGCTGGCAACTCGGACTGTTATACAGGTGATCGATTGCCATAGAACTCCCCAGTTTTCTAACAGCATTATTGGTTACTGTGAATGAGATATCACGTGCAGTACAGGAGTCAGGCATAGTTGTGAAGCTACCATCTCCACTTCCTATCACATGTGACTTCAAAACACAGAACAGAAGCGTCTTTCCCACTGAACCTAGAGGGATTAAATTGACCAGTCTATTTCCTCAATTGTTCTCTGTAAATTCTTATTATTTTAGTAAGAATAAAAGCAGTTTAATCAAGCAGAGTAGCAAATTTATTGGTCAGCAGTCTTCCTCAGTTTGAAACCCAAAGCATTGTCACTAACCAATAAGTTATTTGAAAGGAACCAACTACCAGGATCTTATAAGTATCCCCTCCATCAATGACAGGCAGACGTTGTACCGGTCGGTTCCTGGTGGCATACAGTATGATGTAAACAGAGCGAATTCTCTCAATCTTCCGAAGAATCCTTCTCAAAACGTTAGTTTTTATTCGGGAATCTTGTAAAGCTAACTGAATAAAGTATTGTCATTTGATAAGTGTGCTTATGAAACCCAGGATTCGCTAAACTGTTGCGGAGGGGAACTGTGACACGTGAAAGAAAAAGGCGTTACACTTTTTGGAATCCATCAGTAGAATGTCTTGCTCCACCTAGGTAGGTTTCGCACTTGCTGGCACTCGTCAGTAGGGCATATCTGCAGCTACCGGGAACATGGTGTTCCCTTCGTGGTTTGAACCCTATTCACTCAATGCTCAAGTCGGAAACCTAGCCGCCTCCACGAGTTACTCACCAGTGTAACGGTCCAATCGCAATTCAGGTGGAGTATTCATTAATTTGGCAAAGTGAGACATTCAAAGTAAACAGAATTATTTTCCTCGTCAGTTAAATCTTTCTTGGTCGTGTAATGTTCTCTCAGCTGGGTGGCTAGTCCTGAAGCTTAAACTGTCTTTCTACCCAACATCAATATGAAGTAAGTTATCAGCACTTCTCAAGGGATTCTGTATTCTGCCCTGAGAAAGTGGTTTTTGATTGGTAGTTTCCCATGACTGTTCACACTTTCGTATTAATTACTTCTTTGCCTGTCATCTGACCCTGTATTTGTTAATTATTTTTCCTATTGGTTGATAGATTGTGTCTAAGTCTATACATCTATGATTGTCGATTAAACCGAATGCTGATATTTTGTGCGTCTCTACAACATCCCTTAAATTTTCAAAACTCAATTCATGACCATAGTTACTCACGTGCATTGAGATGAAAGATCAAATGTGACGTTCAATAGCCAATTGGTGTTTATGTAAACAAAGACGCAAAGGGGGTGGCAACTTTGTCTAATGCAGTGCTCATAGCAAATGTTGATTTGGTAAATAATATTTGGTTTGTCAACTTTGTCTGTTGTGTCCTTTGGTCCACATAATATGGTCTGAAAGATAGCTGTCGATTTATGAGCTACACCAATTCCCAGTGCTCTTAGTAACCTTGTCATAATAACTTCCTGATGTGTGTGGTAGGACAATCCGTTTGCTGACTTCCGAGGATGACACTGTAGTTGATGATGAACGGGATAGGTATCTTCGAATAGTTTCGAAAGTAACCATTCTTCTTCATTTCTACGTGAACTTGTTGTGCTGCAATTTGCTCTTTCTCTTTTCGATACAGTCTTTGGGCAGATGGTTTTGTGAGTTGTTGGATTGTTGCTAAGGTACTTGAGGATTTGCTCTATGTATTGACTCCCAAAACACTTCAGTTTTCGGTAGTTGGTTATGGTTGTTCACGCCTTTTCCACTACGAATTCAAGGTTGCTGAAAATGTTGTTGATTAAAATGTAAGTGTTTTCTAATTCATCCATTTTGGGTGATAACAAAATTATCATCTGTATTACAGATCCAAATTTTTGGTTGGATCGGGGGTGGGAGAAATGATTCCTTTCAGTTTTTACATCACTACTTCAAAAATCGATCCGGATGTCAATGATCCCATTGGAGTTCCTATCATCTATTTGTACACGTTCGTCGGAGCAAGCTGCTGAGTCACTAAAGGGGAAATCCTGGTAGCTGCTGCCAATGATGTTGACTAGAAAGAAAATGAGAGCTCAAAGATTAAACCTTTCAGCTCAGAAAGGAAAATCACCTTTTATTATCGGCGTTGCTGATCGACACGATTCACCCTCAGTTACTCATTTTTTGTTACAATGTGATATATTAATTTGTGAGTAAAGATTTTCCTATAACTCTTTGTCTTCTGTCAGTTTTACAGAAGACTAGTTTACATCACAGTCACTTCCACCCCCCTCCATTTATCCATCATGTTTTCATATAAAGGTTTCAGTCAATATCTTAGTAAAGGATTCTGTCATCAAATATTTCGGTTCCAACTTATGGTATCTGTAAACCGCTCACAGTTATTACGTTATAGCTTTCAGTTTTGTTTAGACCAACTCAGTTTGCAGGTTTGTGATGACTGATCGGCGCCAACGCAACACTCATTACGAAGTGACTTCAACTGGAGAACCCTTGAAAACGTCGAAGTGGCGGATAGTTGTTTTGTCCCAGTATGTGACTCCTCAGCAGTGCACATGCATCACCGTCGAGTCTCATGGCTAACACGTCCCCACTGAGCCGCCGAACCAGTCAATTCTTGAAATAGCCTGTGTGACCATCATCCTACGCCATCGGCGAGTGTTTTTATGTATGCTGGTCAGTTAATGGTACCTTATTAAAATAATCTGGCCTTTTCACCTAAAAGTATTTTCTGTCAATACAAAGTAAAATTTTTCTTTCATTTTTCTATATTCCCATCCTCTTTCAACCACTATTGAAAATCCAGATGGAAACTGAAGCGAATGTTACCAATGAAACTGATTTAGCGTCACTTACTCTGTTGGAACCTCCATCAGTTTGTCCGCAGACTGAAAATTTAATTCATCCAACCTCAAATTTACCAAGAATTCTATTCTCTCTTCGACTAAATCCAACTACTGGAAGACTAGAGTGCTGCTTACAAGAAATTCATCTTATCGAGGATATCCGTCCGAGTAAACTGCCGAAACGAAGTAAGCATTCATCTTCATTAAAATGAGTAACTTTAGAGCCTAGTTCAACAATGATTGAACCGGCAGGCTCCGGGTTCGAATCCCGCCCCCACGAATAAGATTTCCATTTCCCCTGCAATCATCACATGGTACCAATAACACAGTTTGCGAAACCATGACTATCTCAGCCAAAGTGATAACTACCGAAGTAACCAATCAATTCTCTTTATTTTATACGCAGGAAAGAAGCTGTCTTTCTCACAGAAATGGAGAAGGCTGATTGGTTAGTCATCTCAGTGGTTAATAGAGTGACCTTTAGAGCTACTCCTTAAAATCACGCATGACTCTATAGGCCATCCTAGAACCACTGAAATAACCAATCAGATTTCAGTATTTTGGCTAGAAAAGTAGTCTTTTTCCTGTATGAAATAAACAAATCTGATTGGCTATTTCAGTAGCTGTCAATGTACTTTAAAGTTAGTCGTTAAAGCTTCTATCCCTTTTTGTTATTAGTATTTTATTTAAAGAACGGTTGCCATGATAACAGTTTATATCTTTCTCATTTGTAAATTAGTGATCTACATTTTTAGAAACATGTTGACAAAATATTCATCCACTGGAAACGCACGTCTATTGAAATTTAGTTTTCAGCTGATACTGAAATCAATCAGAATACTTTTAACAGGGATAGGTGAAGAATTGTTTCTTGTGTCAGGAAGACGCACTTCAATTGAATATGAGTCGAGCTGTGTGGTCAGTATATACGTCTTTGAAGTGTTAGAGGAACTTTGAGAAGTAGACATTTTGATTGTATTGTTTTCTCTGAGCTGGGTTGTTTAGTCGTGGATGTTGTTTCATCCTCTTTCTAGACGAAATCATCAGCACTAACTTCAGTATGAGTGATTTAGTAGCTTGCCTTGATGAACTGATTTGTGATTGATGACACAACAATCAAAGGAAACAACCAATTACAACCCAGTTCAGAGAGAACAATACAACCAAAACCATCTGCATGAGCTACAAATATTCTTCACCATTTCAAGTAGACATTTTCAAGTCTAGTACAGCATAAAAAGTTTGAAAGAATTCATATGAGAGCCTATATACCAGTTGTGGAGGATCCGTTCTATCCAGTCATGGATAAGAAATTGCAGGGAACCAAATCAAAACAATAGGCGTCGCAAAAAGAGTGGGTTCCGTCACTCATTAGCTTGGTGGATAACTTTTCGAGGTTTGAATCCATAAAAGTTGGGTCTGCTCCAGAGATTGATCTATACAAAGCTGACCTGTACTGAATAATACGCAAATCTCAATTACTAGATGGCATTCAGAAGTAATAGGAGACTGACTTTTGTTTCCAGCTGGCTTTCATCACGGATTGATATCATTTGGAGAAGCATTGAAAACCTGAGAACACTGAACAGCTGTTTCGTCCTGGAATGAAACCAACTCCTGACCACACTGTCCCTGTCCTACCAAGAATTGAATCTAGGATTTTTTTGGGTTCCATGGTGATTGGGGTCATGAATGTACATCGCTGAGGAGTTGGTTTCATACTAGGATGGAACATTAGCCCAACTGATGTCGCTTCATAATCATTACCGACTTGAAATCCATCAATAAAATTCGCAAAAACCTCCAAGTTGACTTGTTGCTTATCATTAAGAATTTGAATAGTCTGACAAACTCTGATAGCAGAAGTGCTAGAGAGTCAGTTTTTTCAAATCTTTGAGAAATACACTGTTCTCGGCTGAAGATCACCTTCTCTAAGTAGCAAATTTATTCTCCATCACATCAGAAACAAGCTTTCACTTCGGACCACTTCAGTGTCCTTTACTTGCTGATGCATAGCAGAGGAATCCAGGACACGGGCGTTTCGTCTTTCTTGGGACTCGTCAGCTGGACGTATCTGCCTCCCAAGGAGTGGTGTTGTTCCTACTGAGACTCGAACCAAGTACCCATCACTTCAAACACTAAAGCATTATCCACTAGGTTATAAAGGCGGCGGAGGACCGCCTCTTATGGAACAGTTACCAACTGTCGTTTATTGATACTTGTTTTTCCCCATTGTCATACTGGGATGAATTGCTTGACCTTTGTTGCCAGATAGGGTCCTATGTGAATACTGAGCAATTCAATCCAGTATAGCAACGGAAAGCCACAAATATCAATAAGCCATTTCGATGAGTATTTACAAGCTGACATGATCCAGCATGGTTTTCAGTGAGAGAATGAAAGTCAATCACTTGTTGAATTTTTGAACAGTTTGTCAACTCTGGCAGACGGCTATCTCTAACAGAGTCCTCCTTCAGCGTTATTTGAAGAATCAAAGGAGTCTTTCACATAGCAGAAGTACTAGCAGTTCACTAGTTCAAGTTTGACCCCTGTGTCCAGGAGAAGTTTGTTCAATCTCTTTTCTTGAAATGATCTTAAATCTTCCATTATAACTAGTAAGTTCACTGTTTTCACCTTTATTATGCTCTGAGTTTTTTCCTTTGATCTTCAAGCATCACTCTGGATTATTGAAACCAGACTACCAAATCTGAGATGTCGCGCATAGTGTCACTGTAAATCACTATGATCCTTCGCTTCTGTAATTCACCTCCATTTAGTTGGGGATACGAAAACCTTGCTGCTTAGCTGAGCAGAACTGAAGTGAGATTCAGATGTGATCATTGGCTGTGTCCCTTAGCTCCTTTGGCGGATCACTGGGCCGCTAACCCGGAGATAACTGTCACGACTCAGGTTTTCAAGTCACCTTCAGTCATCAGCCAAAATGAATGATACCAGTCTGCCGAATGAGAGACAGTGTCGTTAATTTCATCATCTAACTGGTTATTACGTGATCTCCTCCCACCTTTCAATCTAACGATGCAAATACTGCCCCATTAAGGAACACTGAGTTGTCATCTCCTTGTCACGTGTAAATATAAGTACGACTGTGCAGCTTAAGTCAAATTCTTCACCAGACTATCCATTCCTTTCCTCCAGGTAGGGAATCCAAAATGTTGTCAGGTTAGTTACAATGAAAGGAATAAGTTAGTTTGGGTGTTTGAGAAAGTTTTACTGATTTCAGTATGGTGCTCATCACACGAACCGATATTAGTTGGATAGCCACTGAAGACTTGAGAGCATTACACAGCTGTTTCATCCCGTTGTCAAATTCCTCAGCAGTGCAAATTCGACACCCCATCAGGGTTGGAGACCAGACCTTTCAGCAGCCATGGATAGCAGGTCACCGCTATCTAAATTGAGTTCACATTTTCCTAACCCTGTCAACTTGCGATAACGAGCGATCTTCCTTAAATTCCATTCCGACTTGTCATTTGAAACTCAGGAAATAAGTCGTCCGCAGTCGTATTCAGTGCAGACGTATTGCACACATAAACCAGTTGACAGATGACAACATTTTCGAAGTTCAAACGAACCAGGAACCAATGATTTGTCACGATGGTCTGTCCATCAACCATCCCTCTTTACAGGAACTTCATCAAACGACCTACCTTTCTTCTTTCGGGGAGGGGGTGTTGATAAATCTTGTAGTCCCCCACTTCACAAGGAACTGGCTAGCCTGACCCATTAGTCTAGTGGATAACGATATACGCTGGGTTCGAGTTTCAGCAGCAGCAACATCATCCACCCAGTTGATGAGTCTCAGATGGGATGAGACATCCATCCTGGATTCCATCAGTTGCTGTCATCTCTCATTGCTATCAAATTATTCATAGAACGCTACTGGGAGAGGAGGGAGAGAATTTTCGAGTTTCGCAAATTCTAAATGTGCTCCCAAGCGAAACTGAAGTTCTATTCAGGAGTGGAACCAAGACTCCATACATGCAACAGGAGTGATGCTATATCTGTCCTATGAAAAAATTATACTACTCTTATCACAATGAAAGAGGTGAAAGTTGCGCAGTCACTTTGAAATGATTCTGGAGCATAAATTGTGTTCAAAACGTAATCCAGTGAACAGGGACACTGTTTCACTGTGTGTGGTATACCTAATAAACCAACTAAAATGCAATTACATCCTACCACAGGGCCCAAGTTTCACTCTTACATTATAGTGTGACCCACCTTTGACCAATCATGTGATTTGAGGAGCACCCAATCAGCGGAACGACACTTCCTGTGTATTTGTGTTTGCCTCTTTTTTGCACGATTTCTCTTCAGATATATTTGTCAAAATGGCGATTCGTACAGAAGAAGATGGTTTAGTGGCAGAAGCCCGCAGTGCTTCATTTCAAAGTCAGTCAGTAATTCATGTGAATGAAACATTCGCTTTCTCTGTGAAACAATATCAAATTGATGAGTTCACTATAGAAATTATGTTGATGAAGAGAAGACGGCCACGCTTCAGAAGACAAATCACTATTGGGACATGCAAAATAGGTGAGTTTCTGAGTACAGCAGAGTAACAGTATTAAGTGTAGAGGATTTGAATGGATAAGCTGTTCGCTGCGAAACACAACGGTCGATGGTTTGACCTCCAGTGGGGCGGTAGGACAAAACAGCTGTCCATCACTCCCAGACTATCAGTCGCTTTCTAACTGATATCAGTCAGTCCGGGATGAATACCGACTCGAAATCAATCAGCCAATTACTACAAACCGACAAACTGAATATTTTTCCTCTTTAATTGCAAATCTCTCCGTTGATGGCTTCAGTGATTAAAGTACCCACTACCATATAGTCTTGATGGATAATGGCTAGCAGTGGGATCCAAGATAAGTATTTCGCCTCATATAGGACTCGTCAACCTGACTTACCTATATCCCATTACAACTCAAATCGAACAGTATCAGTCACTGCGAAGTAGATCCATTCACTTGACAAGTCGACAATAAGATAAAACTCACTTTATGGATTCCATAGGCTGAAATCCCTGGGAGTATTAAGGCATCCACACTGAAGGCGATGCACTAATAGTGGCCGATCAATTCCGTCTAATCGGTTACAAGTAATAGTACCATGCCTTCACTTCTCACACATGGAGTGGCCATTGTAACTCACTAGCCTAGTGCTTAATCCACTGTTATCTGAAGCGATGAGTCGTGAGCTTGAGTCTCAGTGTTGGGAGGGGGGGGGAATCAATCACTGGGATGCAAGTGCAGAGACAACAAGACGCTCGATTCCGAGATTGCACTCTTAGCCATAATAATATGAAGATGAAGTTACCAAGAATACCAAAGTATTCATGCAGCAGCCTTACACCAGTAGTCGCCTATGAATTCATTCTAATCAACAGTGAAAAATTAGTTGCTATAATATCATATCTATCACATATATACATATGAATCCATACATGTTCACAATTTCTCTTTATTGCATAACCGTCTCTAGGTAAATTCAATACAAGTCTAGATGAAGCTGAACATTGGAGGCAAGTGTTGGCGACGAAAGATCACATGATATCTCAGTGGCATAAATTCTATCCAATACCACTGACTCTGTCAGCAGAGTCATCAGAAAGGTGACCACAAATCTTTTAGTGAATAAAATGTTAATCCTCTATTGAATTTTTAATTGTTGACTGTGCACCGACCATCTGTTGTTGTTTGTACGGTTTTCGTCTAGTGTGTGGGTACGTTGTTGCAGAAGTACAGGAAGGGAGGTGCAGATGAGTTTGCACAAGCATGGTAACAGAATATGAAAGGTATGACTAGGGCAGGGGCTAGGCGTGATGTGTTAAACTAGTGACAAGTTACATTCGAGGAAATGATTGCTGCTGAGTGCACCTCAGTATGACCGTGAATGAGCAGGCTCCACCTATGAAATCAAAAAATGTGATGATAAGTTTACGGAAGCTTGGCAATTGCAGTCCATCAGTCAACCAGTATGAGAATCTCGAAGAGAAAACAAAGTAAGTTAAATTCACTCAGAAACCACTTACAGGTTCGTTCAGTAGTCAGTGAGCTCTACACCCACGCCTATTGTTTGCGATAGCTAAATGCACCACTTCGTTGGTCAGACATTCATGGATGGAGCTGGGTTCCAACACGTAGCACATTGGTTGGTTGATTGCCTATACCAATGAACCGGAAGTGTCAAGAAAGGTGGAATACCTCTCTGATTTTCTTCGATTCTCATCCAGTGTATCATGGGTATAACTGAAAGACAGTTCTTGTGGGAACTAATTTTGCAGTTCCGCAGTTTACTTTCTCTCTCTTGACAAACTGAAATACAAACCTACAGGTACTGATTAGGTTTTGGTGTTCTTTTCAGTCATAAGTTACAAAAAGCAGGGTAATGTACCAGAGATGTCATGGTTGTAGGGAATTGCACCTAGTAGTAACTTAATCGATATCATATGCATTCTTGTAGAATGTATGATTCTATTTCAGTCTGTCTTATTTTAAATATACCGCACACAGTGAAACAATCCTACACACTGGACTACGTTTCCGATACAGTTTATGGTCCACAGTCACGTCTTGATAACTTCACAACTTGTGCCACTTAGCCTGACTGCAATTTGGTTAGTCAAATCTTGAGTATGTGGGCGTTTGCTGAACCTAATTGGTCGACTCGCTATCTCTCCTTTCCAGAGGGATATGAAAATATGTGATTGGTTGGAGAATTTTATTTAGTTGAAGTGATTATGCTTGTCATAATCTATTTGATTGGCTGATATATATATATATATATATATATATATATATATATATATATATATATATATATATATTTCATACAACATAGGTTACATGAATACAAACCAGTTTACAGGTTTGATCACTTTGGTAGTGAGAAATGACTGTTATGTACAATGTTAAGCTATACATTAGATGCTGTTATTCATGGCATACAAGAGGTGTGTTGAGGCAGGCTCAGTTCGAAATTAGGAATTATTCAGTTGTTGTTTGAATCTTCCAATATTTTGAAGGTGGGGCAGGCATCACCGTCATAACCTTGGGGTGTGTGCGTTCGTCATAGGGTTTTGGTGGCATGGTACACACTGACAAATGCGATTTCTAGGATTCCATTTGAATGTAGGACTGGTTAGGTAAACCTGAAAAGTGAATGAGAAAAGCGAGCAGCAGGCAAAATTCGAAACAGGAGCACAAAAATACGCAGGAGTAGATCAACCATGATACACCTGGGTGAGTTCTTTGTACTGAATACAAAACTTACTTGAAGAAGCATCCAGAACCAACTGTTTAGATGTAAGCTTGGGTGGAAGAATATGAAGGTGCGCACGACAGTAATGAAAATTAGTCTGAAGCCGAAGATATCACTACGAAATAGAAAGATTAGAGGATTTTGGACCAGACATTCACTTGTTATAAACCTATGTACAAACATTTGATGAAGTTATAAACATTTAAATAAAATTCATAGTTTTTTCTAAGATGGTAACCACCTCTTATCTAGTCATTGGGGAGGGATAATCATGGTGTCGCTTGTTGAGTATAACCATATCGGGGCTACCGAAACAATATGGTGGTGCAGAGTACTTACATGTAAGTACTGATAACAAAAGGCAAATAATGAAACATGTTACATGCTATGACAATCCACCGACAGACAGTTCTTTATCAATCAGGAGTGAAGAGATTATTTTAAAGGACGAATTTTAAGAGATAGGTGTTAATTAGTGAGATCAGTTAGGTTATGAAGAAATGTAGGTTACACCAGAGTAGCTACTGAGTTCACTACTGCAAATCGTATCGCACTCCGCTTCCTGTTCACTCTTGGTCAGTTTTCTTTCTTAGAGATTAGATTTTAACTTAACTAATGCGCTTAGTTTTCAGCATTGTATACTTTTGTCATTGCCGTTAGTCTCCGTTGAGTCTAGGTACCAGTAGCACCACTTTACACGGTATTGCCGTTTGTGGTTTGGCCGTCAACGAGTTGATGAGAATCGTTAGATAGGAGGAATTCACTAAGTAATCGTTGAAACTGGCCCAGAGATTGACATTCTCATATAGGGGTGGGAAGTTTGTTCCACAGTATACTGTATTGAGTTATGAAAAACCTACATCGAAGTTTTGAGCGATACTTATTTACTGGGCTGGTGTACTCGCTACTACACAGATTGTGTGCCTGTGTAGATTTAAAAGTGAAAGCACATTTCGTTCTGGAGTTTCCAAATAAAAGACGAAAAAGAAAGGTTAGGTTGAGCTTCAGACGTCTCAGCCAGAGTGATTCTAGTTCTATTTTTTTGCACCTTGCTTCGTATACAAGTACTTCGTTTTGTATAAGTAGGCGCCGAGTAAAGTTTCGTTGAATGTTCTCTACTTGAATTCTGTCCGATACTTTCATGTTACCATAGGTAACCGTGCAATCCTCTGATATTGGGCAAACCATAACCTTGTACAGCATTAGTTTTGCATCAGGTGTATGTTTCTGTGCAAAAGACCAGTGAGTCTTCTGCCTTTGTAGAGAGAAATCTTTACGTTGATTGGTAGTTCTACTGAAAATAATGGAGTGTGTTTCATAACTTGTAGACAAACGTATAAAACAAAATAGTAAAATTCACGAGTTCGTCTTCCGGATCTAGGTAATTTGACAACTTCTACATTTGGTTGATATTGTTCTAATTTTCTCTGCTCCCCTTTATGATAAGGGTGGTGGAGTTTTCCATATATCTGGAAAAGCTGATGAATTCCTCCTGTAGCATGTATGTCGTAGTGCTTCGACGAAACAAAAATTCAGGTATCTGGGCGTGCGCAGTGCCGGGTTCAGGGGATTCAATTTGCTTTTGAAGCCACTTTGGAATATGCTCAGAGTCTTTCCTATGAATGTGTCACCATAGGAACATGCAAATTGGTTTATGTAGTGGGATGTGACATTGTCGTTGACATGGTGTAAGGTTTTGGGAGAGTATACAAGCTTGGTGGTTTCTTCCATATTACAAATTAAATTCTACCACAGTGCCCAAGTTTTACACATATATTATTGGTGGTTTCTATTAACTGAACCCTAGGTGTATAGTAAGTCCTTCTAACAGCAGTGTGAAGTAGGTACTTAAGAATTGCGCTATGTGAGTCACCTTTGTCAAGAAGACTGGTAAAGATATCTTTTTTGAGACAAAGCGAAGAACTGGTTCTCGCTCTCTGACTACTTTGTGCTGCCTAATAAACTTTGATCAATAGCTATTTTTCCAACAGTATTTCAGTCAATGTTCTCTCGTCTTCCAAAGTATTATCTGTGCATGCTCGTTGAATTTTACTGAATAAGCACATAACTAACTTTCGCTTGTTCTGAACTGGGCGAAAGCTATGATAGTTCAAATATTACCCTATGCATGTTGATTTTCTGTAGATAGATCGTTTGATGAATCTATCCTCTCGCAGACAAATTAATATTTCCAAGAAAGACAAGGAGGCATTGTCTTCGTTTACAGATGTCAAGGATATACTGCTCTGTGCTTAGTTCAATCGGTTTGGATTTGAAGTGGACTGACTTGAACTGTCACAAGTAATTAGAATATTGTCGACATATCTTCGATATAGATGGGGTTGATCAATTAGGTTCTCCACCAAGTTTTCCATGTGATATAAAAATATATCAGCTAAGAGGGGCCCAAAGGACTTCCCATGGCATTACCATCAAACAGGCAGAAATGTTCGCCATCGAATGTTGACGATATCCTATTTATTTGTGATAACGCAGGTCGTCCCACTTCAACTCTAAACTGATGGAATGAAGTACAGAACAGCCCATCCTTAACATCTGTAGGCAATGACAATGACTGCCTGCCTTTCTTCGAGACAGTGATCGTTTTCCCACTTTTAATATGTCTGAAAATTTGTCCGTTTATCCTCAGGGTGTCCGCGTTGTATATAAGCCCGTGAATAAGCTGTGCCCACATTCTCATACTCTTTCAATTGAAGTAAACACTCCTCAGTCCCCTACTGCCAACCGCTGTGTGTTAGCTGACCAACATGTCCAGTATATCATGTTTCGTTAATCTGGTATCCAGAGTGAACATTCTTAAAGTCCCGCATCGGTATTTAGGTCACCATTAGACTTCTTAGCGAAAGCGGAGGAGTAGCGATATGCATAGCTGCAATATCGACTCAGCATTGTTTTCACTTTGTGACCAGCTTTTGAACAGTAAGCAATGCAAGAGAATATGTCTGATCACAAGAAAACAGTTTCATGAGAACAGGCGGACATTTAATTCGTCGTCATCATCATCATCGTTATTAGCTGTGATCCACACTGCGCATAAACATGACCGTGCCCAGGATTCTTTGACTAAATCCAATATCCAGATTGAACCTAATCACCAATAGGTGTGTGCCAGTAGAAGAGAAAATTTAAGTGGGTGAGACTTTCTGAGGTAGAGGTGAATTGATAGGCAGGTACACAGATAGATTAGTATTATTGATTCGGAAGTGAAATGAAAATCTGAGTTATGATAGGAGTCGAATCAGCAACTTGTGGTGGTGGTCTATCAACTGAGTGACCCGCAAGATACAGCTACTGGTCAGGATCGGTGGACAGTTATGCACCATGAATTCACACAGCAGCTGGGCTAAACCCTGGCTGATTGAAACGAAGTTCTG